CAGAGACTTGCTTGTGTATACCATTGGGCCCAAGGCCCACAAATTCTGTTTTCACCATAATGTTCTCTGCAATCCTCACCCCCACCCTGTGAAGAGGATCTGCTGAGTACTAGTCAACCACTTTACAGATGCAAACACAAGAGACTATATGGGCCTGGCTGCAAAGCTCATACTTTATTATTATGCAGTAGTCCTGCCTTGTTCATAGTTACATATTCTGAGATTTCAGTTCCCACAATCAATAGTGGTTTGAAAATATTACCTACAATAAGACATTTTAAGAGAGGGAAAGAAACCGTATTCTTATCACTTTCATTATAGCAGATTGTTCTAATTGTTTTATTCTACTGGTTATTGTCAATCTCTTCCTGTGCCTAATTTACAAATTGAACGTTATCATAAGCATGTATGTGTAGGATCATATATAGTATATAAATTTTTCAGAACTATCCATGATTTCAGGTATCCACTGAGGGTTTTGAGCATATCCCCTAAAAATAAGGGGAAGATGCTGTGCCACTTTTCCCAAACCATTCTATAAAATTCCACTGTGCCGCTTTTATCTGTTTTTGTGTTTGGAATTTAGAGGGTGGTTTCGTTTCAAGGAAGCATTTCCATCACTGAAAAGAACAAAGCTTGGAACATGAGGTTCTTTGGGAGCATTGGTCATCTCACCTCCCCCAGCCACCAAGCATGCTGGGATTTTTGTCACTTGCATCGGAACACATTTTTTGGTTGGCAAGGCATCCATTAGTGAAGGTGTGAATTAGATCGGGACAGACTCCTTGCATCAACTTGGAGCTCCTGAGGGTGACCCAGGAATAGATTGTGTGGCACCGATTTTATACATGGGAACTTTATCAGTGGTCCTGACTGAAGAGCAAAATGCTTTCCTGTGTTTTGTCAGCAAAACTTGAGGCCCTGTCACAGACACTGGCGATAGGGAGTTTATTCCCTGCTGTAAAAATACTTTCAATCCAGTTAAACAGAGGGGTGGACTGATCATGAGGATGTGGTGTGACAGGCACTTTGAGGAGAGACAGAGTTGTTCTGGGAGCTCAGGAGGCCTGGAATCTGACATCTGGAAGGGGAGCTAATGATGAAGCCCCACCTTTTAGGAGGCTGGTGTGGGTGGGGATTAGGGAGAGATGAGGGAGTGAGAAGGAAGGGTGGGAAGTGAAGGTGCTGGAAATGTGGAAGAGGGTCTAGTCACACAGGAACTGAGGACCCGGATATACTAAGAGATTTATTTCATCCACCCAGTTCTTTCAGCCGATGTTTATTAAAAACCCACTGTGTACCAGGCTGTGTCTCAGAACCAAGAATACTGGAACAAACAAGCCTGGAGGATGAAGCTCACATTCTGGTGGGAAGACAGAATTCATTCTAGGTGGTCAGTGAAGCCAGGAATATAACTCTGCATGGTACTAAGTACTAGGGAGAATCTCCGCTCTGTAAACGATGGGCCTCTCAACTGTCCTGAGGAGCAGAATTTGGTATTCAGAATATGGTGCAGTTGATAAACATATTTCAGATAAGGATTTGGCCTCCCTTAATCTTCCAGGTCTGCAGTCAGCAAACCATGGACCCCCTGAAAGTTGACAAGTCAAAACTTACCCACCACCAGCATGACTTTTTGTAGTCATGAGCTGGGAAATGGTTTTCAAATTGTAAACAGTTGGGGAAAATCATAGGAGAAGAATATTTCATGACACATGAAAATTGCAGGACATTGCAAGCTCGTTTGTTTATGTATTGCCTAGGCTACTTCTGCATTTCAAAGGCGGAGTTGAGTCTTTTCAACAGAGATCATATGGCTGCAAAGCCAAAAATATTTACTCTCTGGCCTTTTATAGGAAAAGTTTCCCCAGCCGTGTTCTAGTCCTTCCGGTATCTGCAGGCACCTCCTCCAAAGCTGGCCCAGGAAAACCCTCCCCTGTCAGGAATTGGGGGCAAAGGAGAGTTGAGAAAAATTCCTGTTCCAGCTACTCTCCCCATAGGTCAGGACTTGGTACTCTTTAGGTGCAAACCCCTGATAAACTCTGATGTTCGGTCTGGGACACAAAGGGGTGATCCCTTGTGTGAAGCTGGGCCTGCCTCCATTGCCAGCTTAACACAGTATTTTCTAGTACATTGAGATATATAATGCCAAGCTTCATTCAAAGCAGTGATACCAAGCTCAGTTTATTGACAGGGAAATATTTTGAGACATATTGAATAAAGCAGAACAACAACAGAAAACTGTTACTGTGTTATAACATTTCAGTTTTCATTTGTATATGCACTTTTACATATATATGCAGAGCTATCTGGATGTTCAGTCCCCAGAAAGTTGACAATAATTATCTCTGAGTGGTGGGATTTAGAATGATTTTTTTTTTACTTTTTTCTTACATTTTTATACTAGTTAGGTTTCTTTTTTAAAGTCTTAAAATGAATCATCTTAATCAGTAAAGAAAAACATAGCTATTTTAGTTTCAAAGAATAAGTAAGAAGAATGGGTACATCTGCACGTGGGTGATGGAATTATTTATGTGATTATGATGTAATTGTTAGTGATATTCATCCCTAAACAGCTTACCACTAACTGGAGCAGGGAAGTGATGGCTTCAGAATAAGGAAGATTAATAAGCATATGGTAGGAGGTGGGAAGCGATGAAAAAGTCAGGAAATCTGATCTGGTCATCAGCATGAGAGATGGAAATTTCCCAGTATATAAATCTCCAAATTTCTTTGGTGCATTGGGAAGATTGGGGTTTAGATCTTTTCCTGATCTCCCCCTCCTTCTTCCCTCATCTACCCCCCCCCACTACACTCCCTCCCCCCCCACACACACACACTTTCTGTGCTGCTGTCTCCAGAAACTATAAGACACTTATTAAGTTGGGGTATTTAAAAATGGTACATTAGCGCCACCTGGTGCCCACACTCTGTCGCTTCCCCTCCAGTGTTTCTGGAAGCCCCCCTTCAGATTCTTTGTTTGATGTCCCAGCTCTGGTGGCATTTGCTTGGCAGGCATCGTGATGCCTCCCGGGGTTCTGCAGGGCAATGGGAATGCCTCATTAATTTATCTCTTCCTCCTGTCTCAGTCGCCCAAAGCCAGTCTCTTCCACTGAAGCGCAGCTTGGCAGTTGAAGAGCAAAAGGATACCTCCCTGTCAAAACCAATCTCTGCTTTTCTCCAGCAGCTAGGCCCTAAATCTGGGTCTGTGCTCCTCTGGCAGGGAAGCTATTGTGCTCCCCAGGACTGCCTTGGGCTTGAGCTCTTGGGGAGTCTGGCTTATGGGGAGCTCTTTGGTGTATAGTTGGGCCCTAGGAGGTGCCAGAAGCAAGCTTGGAAAATACCTCCCCTCCATCTGTCCCATCTGGCTTGCAGTGTTAGGGCCACATATGTGATCCTTGGGTGAATCTTCAGCTCCTCCCTTTGGACCAGTAGTTCTCAAACAGGCAATTTGCATCCTTCCCCCGACATTTGACATTTTCTGCAGACATATTTATTTGTTGTAACTTGGGAGGGAAATACTACTGGCATCTAGTGGGTAGAGGCCTGGCATGCCCCTTGACATCCTACATACGCAGGTCAGCCCACCTCCCAAGAGCAAAGAACGGTCTGATCAAGAGGTCGTAGTGCCGAGGTTGGGAAAACTGCCCTAGACGGTAAGCCCCTGGAACCAGAACCACAGGCCCTGGGAAAGGGCACAATTCTGACTAGCTATTCTCAACCCTTTAATAAGTTTACCCCTAGACAGATGCAGAACGTTCCAGCCACAAGACAAAAAAGGCTCATTAGCCTGGCTGCTCGTTACCCCCCCCACCCCAGGATAATCACACAAGGTTCTCTGGTCCAGAGAAAAGTCATCCCTTTTTTTGTACCTTTGCTATTAAATCACCTAGAGTCTCATTTTAAATTGTAGTTGTTTGCACACTAATCTATTCACAATAAAATTTCATCTACAATTAAGTTAGTCCACGTTCCACAAGTCAAATGGCCTGGCTTCCTCCGAAAGTCCATCCTGGAATAAATAGCCAGGTGACTGCTAATGCAGCATATGATGGGGTGGGGAGAGGGAGGGGGCTGCACACAAACTTTTAGAGATATTTGGAGAAATTCAAGTATTGACTGTGTGACATGATATTACTAAATTAATGTTTATTTTCTTAGGTATGATAATGGCAACCTAGGTGGCCATGCATCACTTAACACTGGGATACATCCTGAGAAATAAGTCCTTAGGTGATTTTATTGTTATGTGACATCGTAGGGTATAATTACTGACACCTGGATGGTACACCTGGCTGTATACACGGCTGTGTGACACAGCGTGTGGGGACCCCCATCTGACACGCAGCCCTTTGTTGGCCAAACATGATTGATTTCTTAGCTCAGGCTGCTGTAACAAGAACCACTAACTGGGTGGCTTACAGAGCACGGAATTGTATTTCTCATAGCTCCAGAAGTTGGGGGTGGGAGGTTGATCCAAGATCCAAGTATTGGCCGATTATTTGCCTGGTGGGACTGCTTCCTGGTTCACAGTGTTCTTCCTGCTGAGTCCTCCCACAGTGGAATGGGGTGTCTTTTATAAGGATACTCACTCAGGAGGCCCCACCCTCATAATCTGATCTCCTCCTCCCAAACACTCACCTAATACCATGGCAATGGGGATCACGTTTTAATGTGAATTTGGGGGGTGCACAGTCCACTGCAGTTACATGGAGGATTGGCCTTTTTCTGTAAATGATACAACCCAGAGTATTTAGGAGTCACTTGTCAAGACATCTGCAACTTGCTTTCAGTGACAGCAGGGAAACAGGGGGGGTGTAAAGGGAGAGAGGGGGAACAGATGTGCAAATGTTAGCAGTAGGAGGAGCTTAATGAAGGGAGTATGGGCAGGTACTAGGATATCACCTACTGGAAGTTGGAACCTTGAAGAAGACACGGGTTAGCCACTGACTATGCCTTGTGCCTGGAGGCCCCCTGAGCTTGTCCGTATGTGTGTTCAGTTTGCAGCTCTCCACCCATCCACATGAAGGTGCAGCCCCTGAACCAGACAGCCCTGCAGGTTTCCTGGAGCCGGCCCGAGACCATCTACCACCCACCCATCATGAACTACATGATCTCTTACAGCTGGACCAAGAATGAGGACGAGAAGGAGAAGACATTTACCAAGGACAGCGACAAAGATTTGGTAAAATCTCCCTTTCCCAGTGGGGTGCTTGCTGCTCTTTCAGTTATGGGGTTCCTTGCTGCACCTCCCTGCTGGACACCACTGTGTCCCCAGCCCCACATGCCTGTACTTGCCATGGACTGGGCTGCAGAGCAGTGGACTGTACCCTGAGTCTGCCAGGCTCCATCCTGCCCTGACACTTAGACCAGGCCACCAAGCAAAACTAGTCAATTTCTTTATAATTGGGCCCTTCAAAACTGACTGCTTTTTCTTTCATTAGTTTAAAAAAAATAGCCTCCATTAAGTCCTTTTCATCTGGTAGGGTTCCTGTAAATATTAAATTATGCAAATGTCCAACAGGTCCTGGCTCTTAGAAAGCACTACATAAGTACAAGCTGTTATTCTTACCATTATTCCTCTTCCTCTCCTCCCACTCCTGCTACGCTCACCACCAGCTGGCCAGGTCCTCTCCACTCCCTCTCGTCACAATGGCTCTGCTTCATACATTCCCATTAGCCGCTTGACCCCGTCTCAGACACTGTGATGTCTGATCTCACATGGAGGGCCAGATTTGGCCTGTGGGCTGTAGCTTGCCTGACCCTTGTAGTACACCTGTGGTATTCCTTCTGTATTCTATCCATGCCCAATTCAACTTCTCACCTTAAAAGTGACATAAATGTTAAGTGGCCAGCCCCCAAAGAGGCCAACAACAGATGTTTGAGAAGCCATCTTCCCCCGTAAGAGCAAACCCTCACAAGCACTAGTCTGTAACTCTTTGCACAGAAACTTAATGTGACACACATTTGGGTTTGAAAACTCGTGTTTATTGTTCATCAAAGGGAGGCTTTGGAACCCTGAAGCCTGCAATTGTATATGCACGTGAGAAAAGCAATAGCACCGAGTAGGAGTCTTCATGGCTGTTAATCACTTTTTCCCTCCAATTCAGAGTCCCCAGGGCCAGTTCAATCAGTTATAGAATAATACTCTTTGAATTCCTTTAGATGAAGATTCTTTTACTTCATTTCCATTTATATTTTCAATTTTCCTATTAGACATTGTTATCTGGGCCACATTAGGGAATGATGAGCTTCACAAAATCAGAGGACTCTTTTAAAAGGCACCCAAGGTTATGATGTATTTTGACCCTTCTCTTGTCACTACTGGAAGTCCATAAGGGGCTTTTCTCTTTCTGAAGTAAAGATGGCTTGCATTAATCAGCAGAAACTATCGAGATGCTTATGCAGTTGCCTGTTCTAAGTAGAAAATAATTAAATATGCAAAGATGAATAGATACTGCCTTGCAGCAAATTCTAATAAATCCCTGCATAGATGGAGCGAAAATTTTGCTCTGAACAGAAGACTGGGTCAGAGGTTTAGAGAATGAGGCATAAATTAGTTTCAGAGAAAGAGAGAGATGTAGACAATAACATGCTTTGACAGCAAGTTCTTTTTTTTATAAGAATTTCGAAGGTTGGTTATTTTCTTTGGGGACACACAAAATTAATTTTAATTCCTCAAGAAGTCAAGAGTGCTGACTTAGTGGCAACAAAGCTATTCTCTAACTTATGGTTACTGTGACCCAGAAACCTAAAAGAATATTTATGTAGCACTTTCCAGTTACAACCCTCTTCCACATCCTCACTATAAACCTGTGGTGGGTGTTACTACCTACCTTTTCCAAAAGAGAAAACGGAAGCTAACAGTTAAATAACATGGCTCCCACCCACAGCTCTTACCAGGAAGCTGTTTTCTAGGCAACAGCAGCAGGTTAGACCACAATTACCTTTTAATACCTGGTCAGAGGTTTTTAATAGCTATGTGGGAAAAACCCACTCAATGGTTAAGCACACATAATTGCTTTCTCTATTTGGTCCAGAATATATGTTTGGATGACAGGACACTCATCTTTTAGGAAATCTTTGAAAATCAGTCTTTTCTTGTTGTTAAATACTCCTTGCTTTTTTAGGTAGTCTCTAATCCCCAATTTTAAAAGGCTCTTGGAATAAAGCTTTGAGGAATGGGAATCTGGATTTAGCAGGTGATGTTTCACCAGGAATGGGTTGACTTTTTCTAGAATGGGTCAGATAGTAAAGATTTTAGGCTTCACAGGTCATAAGGTCTCTCTGTGGCAACTACTCAACCCTGCCAATCGAGGGTGAAAGCACATTAGACAATGCATAAATAATAGGCTTGATTGTGTACCCATAAAACTTTATTTACAAAAACACATGGAGGGCCAGATTTGGCCTGTGGGCTGTAGCTTGCCTGACCCATGTGGTACACCAGTGGTATTCCTTCTGTTGCTTAATATGGACTATCTATGAACAAGGCTTGCCTGGCCTTTGTTATCTAGTTCTCTTACAAGGGTGCAGAGGATGGAAGAGGACAGCTGGCTAAGAATCACTAAGCTACTAAGCAGGGTTTCAAGGCTAGATCTCAGCCACCTCACCTCCAGCCAGGCGTTCTTCCTAGTATCGTGCCCCATATCTTTTGTGGTCGAGAAGCCACTGGGCCTTTAAACTACAAAGAAATACATACTTGGAGATTTTATTAATGATATTCAAAACTTTGCTGGCATCTGGAAATTCCATGTGCTTGATAATTCTAGAAGACATCTAGGACATACAGTTTATAAGGTAGTTTAAAGAAGCCCAAGCTTGGGCCTCCCCTGGTGCGCAGCAGTTGAGCGCTGGGCAGCAAGGCTGCCCGCAGCCTCTGCAACGCCGGTTCGTTCCCTAGCCGCAGGCGAGGGTCCCACAAAAAAAAAAAAAGAAGAAGAAGAAGAAGCCCAAGCTTATGAGTCCCTGAAGGGTAGAAGACATGGTCAAAAACAGTCAAGAATAAGAATCCAAGGCTGATTTTGCTATTTCCCTTCTCCTGTCTATTTGAAAGTGAATTCCCAGGCAAGGTTATTTCTGAATGCTTCTCCTTTCATAATGAACCTTTTGTAGGGGGGCTTGGTATCTGCCAGGCTCCGCCAGGTATCCAGAAACCTACCAGTGCCCCTTACCATCACTTTAGCTTTGGCCTCCCAACAAGTCATCGCCTCTTCTTTCTTCACCAACAGAAAGCCACCATTAGCCATGTCTCACCTGATAGCCTTTACCTGTTCCGCGTCCAGGCCGTGTGTCGGAACGACATGCGCAGCGACTTCAGCCAGACGATGCTCTTTCAAGGTGAGGCCGGTTTCCCCACTGTCTGGCCTGAGGTGGCCCTGAACCCCTTCCTTCTTTGTGCTTTGTCTGTTTTCCTCTCAAGGTGCTTGGACAAAAGAAAGCAAGTCTGGCCTGAGAATCAGTGTGGGGTCTTCCATCACACCTGGAAAGCATTGGGAATATAGGCCTCTCATATGGGGCCTGGGGGGTGCTCCTAGGCCAGAAGTGGGAGGAAAAGCAAAGTGTTGATTTGGGTTTTTATGGTTACTTTTCAACTGTGGTGAAAGAAGTATTTGGATCTCCACCCACCCGTTGCCTGTCACTGTCACATCACGAAAGCACCTCCGGGTCCCACTCTCAGGGAGTCTTTCTGGGTTTCTAGCATTACCCAGTAGCTGACATCCAAACAGGTCCAGTCTCCCCTCTGACCTAAGGGTCCTTGAGCTTGAGATATTCGTTCCTGCTGGTTTAGTCACTGGTATAACATCCCAGAGCCTGCACTCAGGTGAGGAAGTAGGGTGTTTTACCTCGATACACAATTTAAAAGTGCACCAAAAATCCCAGTGACCGAGATGTGTAATATTTTAAAAATATATTTTTCAAAGCAAAAACTTCATGAACAGGGCCTCCCCAGCGGCACAGCGGGTTGAGCGCCGCGCTGTCAAGCTGTCCACAGCCTCTGCAGCACCAGTTTGATTCCCGGCCTGCCAGGGAGCTACCCACATGGCACGGCAGACCTCTCCTGTCTCACCCCCTGCTCCCCTCAGCAGTGTATTTCAGTCAGTCTGCCTGTTCTGTTCCCCTCTCTGTCTCTGGTGAATCCTCTCATCCTGTGGTGTCTCTGGCCTGTGCTCCAGCTCTGGTATAAATAAATAAATCTTTAAAAAAAAATGAACAAAATACCAGAATTTTAAATAAAGACAGAATCCACCTGTCTTACTTGCAACAACGTAATCCTAGTCCTGGTTCCAACAAAACTATATTTACAAAGCAAGGCAGCCATCCTGTGGCCTGGAGTTCGCAATTTGGTTTTGTGACCTGCACGCGCACCAGCCTGGAGTGGGGGACCAGGCCTTGGGCCCTGATCTGCCAGCCTTTGTCCTCCCTGAGAAACCTACACATGACCTTTTTAGTTTATGGTTCTTGACCTTTTTGAGTCGGTTACTAGGAAGTTTTGAACCTTACCCCTGGAATATGTGAATTTTGCACCTACTGTAAAACTTGTAGGCTAGGGACCAGCAGCAGCCACTTCATCTGAAAGCCTGTGAGAAATGAACATTTCTGGGCCCCTCCCAGCCCAATGGCTTCATAATTGCTGAAGGTGGGAACCAGGAATCTGAGTTGTTGTTGCTTTTTAAGATTTGTTTTTATTTATTTATGCATACAAAAACTGGGGTGTATGCACCCCAGAGGTGCAGGGGTGGGGGCGGTGGTGGTGAGAGAACTCACCAGAGACAGAGTGGGCAGCAGAACAGGCAGATTCACTGAAATACACTGCTGACGGGAGCGGTGGGCATGTCAGGAGTGGTCTGCTGTGCCATGTGGGTAGCTCTCTGGCTGGGGATCGAACTCAGGCTGCAGTGGCTGGCGATTGCTTGATAACTCTGATACTTTAACCCCCTATACCACCAGAATCTGAGTTTTAACAAGATGGCCTGGGTGATATGTGCTGGTTTAGAACTGGGACCTTGGAATGAGGGCCCAGGTTTGAGTCCTGGCTGCCCCTTGTTGTTCCTGTCACTCGGAGAAGGTTCCCTAACTTCTGACCTATAGTTTCCTAATCCAAAATGTGCTGGTGTTAACAGTACTAGTCTCTCAGGTCCTGGTAAAATGCCATAGTGTGAGGCACACACACGTGTTAAGTAATCAGCATCATGCCTGGTTCCGACTATAAACGCCTCCCTTTTATTAGATTTGACATAAAAAAAAAATACATGATGAGCCTAGGTAAGAAACCATTCAGCCTGGCTCCCCTCCAAGGATTCCTTCTAGCTTTATAATTTTGTGCTTATATTTTAATATTCTTTGCTAATCTTCACCTTGATCACATCCTTCCATTTAAACTAATTGAAATGAACACAACTGCATTTTTTTTCCCCACAAATAAATCACACTGCATGTGTCTACCTGTGCCCTGAATGTGTGGTCCCCTTGGCCTATGTTGAGAAAGGACCTCAGGTCTAGACAGGATCTGTGCCAGCCAAGGCGAGAAGGAAGGGAAGGCCAGGTTGGGGGTTCACTGAGACTCAGGCCTGGGAACTGTTCCCTCCCATGTGCTCTAACCCAGAGCTGGAATCTGCAGAATTGCTTCTCCTGATTAATAGGCCCCTCAACTTGCTGGCTTCTGCATAGACTTTGAAAAATTAAATGTTTGTAATGTAATGTAATTCAAAAAGGCCTTGTCAGCTATAAATTCAGGGAAATGGAATATTTAAAATATCCAATCACAGTGACTTGTCTACAGACTTTCTTTGTTCAGAAGTGGACATGAGTTGCCTTAATCAAATATCGATGTTTGTCCCCATATGTTGACAAAAGAGCACAGATTCTTCGTTCCTCCCCACAATGCTTTGGCATCTTCCCTACAGCTTCCAGGAGGCGGTGTCAATCCAAATCTTAATCAAGGTGATTAAGTTAAACCTTTTCTGGTGAGCCACATGGGCATTTATGAGCAGGAAAGGCCAATGTGCAAAATCGATCAGCTACTAGGACTTAAATTTTAAAAGGGAAAGAAAGCAAGTTTAGAGAATTCCACAGAAGCCACGTTCAGCATAATGAGGCTTCCCAGTGGTAAAGTTTACATCTGGATGTGGATCAGGAAGGAAGCTGGTACTTCCTCATGCCACTTGGAATAGTGATCTTTTTATAGTAAATATATCAATACTGTGTTCTAGATATCATAACAATAAATGTGTGCTATTTGTCTTACTGTGATAAATGTAATGGTGGGCACTGTCTGAGGAATAACTCACAGTTACAGGCATTTGCACATAAATGATTGCATCTGAACCTCACCTTGTGGCAGTTGGAATGTAGGTATTATTTTACAGATGGGGAAATGATGTCCAAGGGTGGTCTAGTATCTTGCAAAAATTCACTTAGGTGCAAGCAGTGTACAGATTTCTTGTTCCGAAATTCAGTCATTCATTTACTAACATGGACCACCCTGAAGAGTAAATATTGCCATGTCCGCATTCTTCAACACATGAAAAGGTGCATTGCATCGTGTTTAAAGGCTTTTTGCAATTCTCTATGGTCATGGAAAATAGGGTTCCTGAGCTCTTTGTACCACAGACCCATGTAGCAGCCTGGGAAAGCCAAAGGATCCTCTCTCAGAAGAGTTTTTAATGAATGCATAAAATACATAGGCAAGGCAACCAATTATGTTCAGATACAGTTGTCAAAATATTTTAAGCAAATTTGGAATATAGTAGTAGATGTACGTTTTCATTAAACTATTAAATGATAAGTGATGGGTATGTTAGCTACTGTGCTTTCTGAGAGTCCAAAATCACTGCAAACTATAAGGCAGTATGAAAATACCTGATTTCAATCATAGACAAAGTCACAGGTCCTGTGACTACAACTGAGATTTGCTGTCTGCATTTATGACGGAAGGGAGAAGAACCACCGCTTAGTAGGCGCTTAGTGAGCATGCAGATGTGATTTCCCCCGCACCCTGGACCTGGAGACCCCAGGTTAAGTATCCCTGATGGGAAAGATGCTATGAAAAATTCCTAGTCAGCATGGCTAGACCTGACGCGGGTGGAAATTGCTCCCGATTAATGGAACGGCGCCCTGCTGATGGAGTGGCTCTTTAGTGTGTTGCCCTTGATTAGAGTCTTTGTAAAGGCAGGAGAAGTGGGGCTCCTAGGAACCGTCTTCCTGTCTCAGCAAAGGGATGTATGCAGACCTGTGTGAGGCCGTGCACTGTTGATCCTCGTGCAACTAAGGATGGTAGATATTGAGTCTCGGGGAGACGAGGCTACCTTATTTTATGTGGAATCTGAACAGGTATTGATTTCTAGTTTGGTCTGTTCTCCACCTTTGTCTCCTTGCACATTTCACTTTCCAACTCCTCAAAATGAATAAATACATCTTTAGGTCAAGACTTGCAAAAAACTCAGGTGTCCATGTATGGTTGAGAGGAGGGTGCTCAGTCAGAAATTGGAGACCCTAGCTCACCTGTAGGGGGTGATGGATGCTCAGCTCCAACCAAATGCGACCCTGCAGGAAGGTGAACTTGGTTTGGCCAGATAGTGTGTGTTTTTTTTTTTCTCAGGGTAAGCAGGAAATTGGGTTTCTTTTAAGGTAAAAGCTACTGTTTATGATGTTGGCAGCAAATTGGGTTTTCAAAAAAAGCTTGGCAAGTCAAACAAAAAATACATGCTGGTCACTTGCCGCTTCTGGTTTAGCAGAACCGCAGCAGGTATAAATGTTATTTATTTTGGTGATTAGCATTGTTTGCTCATTTTTCAGAGCCATGTATATATAGGAAACAAACTTTTATAGCATTGTTTTTTCTAAATAACCACAAAGAAGCAGGTTGATCCTTTTTTTATTAAGTTACACTATTTGGCATTGCTCACAGTAGCAAAGGTGGAAAGACACATGCCTTTCAAAAGGGAAAACAAACTGTGGTGTGTGTGTGTGTATTATTCAGCCTTAAAAAGGGAAAAAATTCTGATCATCACTACAACATGGATAAACCATGAAAATATTATACTAAGTAAAGTAATTCAGTCAGAAAAGGACAGTCATGTTTGGTTCCATTTTTATGAGGTTTCAGGAGGAGTCAGACTCATAGAAACAGAAAGAAGATGGCGGCCACAAGGGCCGGGGCCCAGGGACTGTTTGGTCAGAGGGTACAGCTTTCAGTTTTTCTAGATGAAAACATTATAGAACTTTGTCCGCGCAATAGTGTGAATATATGTGACCCCTCTGAACTGTGCGCTGAATGACTCGATGGTAAATTTTGTTATGTGTATTTGACCACAGTTCTAAACCATTTCAAGTTATGTTGTTTAATAGTGATAAAAATGGGAGATCAGAAATTTAGGAAGGAAAAAACACCAAAGAGGGTGATGTGGGGTTGATACAAAAGAATTTGACTTAAAACAACAATAGCAAAATTTTATGGGGTTTTATTTTGACATGTTTAGTTGAGATAACACTGGTTTACAACACTGTATATGATTTAGAGGTATAGGATCGCCCCCTTCAGGTGTTGTTGCTACACCACACCCACCACTAAGACCCCCTCTTATCCCATAAAACATAAGTAGAAATGAAAGATGACAGTACACAATAGATGAGGCAGGCAAATAAATATCAATTATTGTACTGCACAATATTTTAAGAAAGTGGTAAAATGTTAATTTAAGGTAAGCTAAGTCTAGGATGCATACCATAACCACTCAAAGCAAACTATAAGAAATTATAACCAGGGCCTCCCCGGTGGCACAGGGGATTGAGCACAGCTCTGGGAAGCTGTTCGCAGCCTCTGCAGCGTGGATTCGATCCCCAGCTGACCAGGGAGATTCCCACATGGTGTGGCAGACCTCTCCTGTCACGCCCACTTCCCCGTTCTGTCTCTGGTAAATCCTCGCACCCTCCCGTGTCTCTGGCCTGTACCCCAGTTCTTGTATAATTTTTTTAAAAAATATAACCAAAATGGAATATATGATTCCATACATACAAGCGCAAAAGAAGGCAAAACAGCAGCAAGTCAGAATGAATGGTGGTCACCTTTAGGGGGTGAATGTGGCATTGACAGCAAGCAGGGGATGGGTGCTGGAGAATGTCCACAGCTCAGTATGGGTACTAGAACACAGGTGTTTGCAGAAGTAGAGTAATGAGACCACACTTCTTCAGTTTTGTTCATTTTTACTGTATTTAACCTCAGTAGAAAACAAAAGTTTTTAAATTGTCTTAAACTAATAAGAGTTAGAAAACTATGGCCCAGAGGAAAAATAGAGTCGTCTGCAATTTTTTATGACTCAAGCTAAGAAGAATTTTACAATTTCAAATGGTTGGTTAAAAAAAAAAAAAAAATCTTAAAAGGAGTATTTCATGACTTGCGGAAATTATATGTGACTCAAATTTGTGTATCTAAGTAAAATTTTGTTGGAATAACAGAGTTACATACCTAACAATGTAATCTCCTTGTTTTTCAGCTAATACCACTCGGATATTCCAAGGGACCAGAATTGTGAAAACAGGAGTGGTAAGTACAGAATGGTAGTCTTGGGCTGACGAGTTACTTCACATGCATTTAAAACTGTCACCACACGGTGGCAGTATGATGTTGTTATACTGCTTGATGTGAACCGGTTAAAATACAGGAAAAAAGTAACATTATTCACTCTAGTTGAATAAATTATGAAAACAAGCTGGGCAACAGAGTTAAAGCAGTTGTGTTATACTGCATAATTTGTCAAGGTAAAAACTCTCTAGATTTTTAATTATTTGTTAAATGCGGGATCACACAATGTAAGAATGTAAAAGATCTGTTCCGAGACCTGCATTTGACAGCTGCTGCATTCGGAGGCTGTCATTTGCCCAAAGTTATGTGGATTTGCGCATTTCTGGAGCCTCAATTAACATCTAAGTTTCCTCGTTTCTAGTGCAACTAACAGTCACCATACTTACAACAGTATTGGCGATAACAACTATAGCATAAAACTTACCCAGCATTTCCTAGGTTTCTAGGAAACCTAAGATGATTTTATTTACTTCTTGTGGCATCCCACAGGATTGGTTTTACTCTTATTTCCATTTTATGGATGAGGAAATCAAGGCTTAGTGACTTAGATCAATGTGCCCAGTTATCAGCCAGGGAGCAAAGTGAGGGGTCAGCTCAAACCCAGACCATCTGACTTCTGACTCCTGTGCCTTATCTTATGTGGCATCTGGCATGTCCTTTACCAACTTCAGAATGTGATTGCTAACTTGCTCACCCTTACACAACCAAGTTTTCGGAGTAAAAATTGATGATGTTATGAAATCTAAGTTGGTCTCAATGTTCTGAATGGCATAATTAATGGGGTGAAATCTGGATTCTGTGCAGCAGATTATAAGGCTAGAATTATATGAACAGCTCAGAGCAACTACTTCTTTCCTAAGATACTGTATGCCAGTGACAGTTCAGTATAATAGGAAGCATGAGTTCAGCTTTAGACACACCCCACCTTGCCCTTGTCCCTTAACATCGCCATGCCTCAATTTCCTCACCTATAAAATGGTGATGGTCGTGTGTGCCTACATCGTATCACGGAAAGTCCTGGCATATAATTGGCACTTATTAAATGGAACTCTGGTTCTTGTCATCATCCACATGGGCATAGGTGTTGCCATGGGTAAACCTGGAGACTCTGAAAGGAATAGCCACTGTTTAGTGCCCACCTACATGGACTGGAAGCCAGTTCTGGAAGCCACAGTGCAGTGTGGTTCCTGCTTTCAGACCTGGTGGGGTGTTTCCCCTCTTTGTCCATCACCTCCTCACCGTCAGGTGGAAGACCAGATCCCCAGGGCATTTCACCATCTAACAGCTGTATATTCTCCATAGCACCCTTGACGCATGAAAAAGCTAGGGCTCCTGCCTCTTCTGTTGCCCCCCAGTTGACCATCTGATGTTGCCAATTGACTGCTTATTTCATTTGTCTTTAAGCCAATATTAATGCTACTTACTTTTTTGCCACTTAGCCTCATCCTGAGCAATATTAGTGAAAAGTTGGGCTTGATGTGCTAGTTACAAATTTGAATGCACTCCAAGTAATTGTAAGGCCAGACATGGTCATGCAGGGCTCCCCTCATGTCCACTTTCACAGCATGCTTTGGGGACCCCCGTGGGTATGGTAAAGGATGAATAAAACCCTCTGAGTGTCACCACCTGGGTCTCGTTTCCAGTCCTAATGGCTGACATGTCTCTGCTTTCTCTTGCCCTGTCCCTTCCCTCAACCTCGCCTGGTGACCCTTTCAAGCCCACAGCGTCTCCTGCCTCCTCGGCAGACATGGCCCCCATCAGCTCCGGGTCTTCTACTTGGACATCGTCGGGCATCCCTTTCTCGTTTGTGTCCATGGCGACTGGGATGGGCCCTTCCTCCAGTGGCAGCCAGGCCACCGTGGCCTCAGTTGTCACCAGCACGCTCCTGGCCGGGCTGGGGTTCAGCGGCGGCGGCATCTCCTCCTTCCCCAGCACTGTGTGGCCCACCCGCCTCCCGACGGCCGCCTCTGCCAGCAAACAGGCCGTGAGACCCGTCCTCGCCACCACAGAGGCCTTGGCTTCCCCCGGCCCCGACGGTGATTCGGCGCCCACCAAGGACAGCCAGGGTGCCGAGGAAGGGAACAAGGACGAGAAAAGTGAGCGTGAGGATGGGGAGCGGGAGCATGAGGAGGAGGGGGAGAAGGACTCTGAGAAGAAGGAAAAGAGTGAGGGGACCCACGCCACCCAGGAGCGGAACCAGACCGAGCCCGCCCCCACCCCCTCATCTCCCAGTAGACCTGCCCAGAAGGGCGGGCATCAGACTATACCTGGGCGCAACCACAGTGCCGGCCCCACAGACCAGCCTGGTGCCACCAGGGATGCCGACCCAGGCCTGGACCCCCATTCGGTCACCTCCACCCAAGTGCCCCCCACAGTCACAGAGGAACATTATGAAGGGAGTGAGCCCAAGAAGCCGGAAATGCCATCGAAAAAGCCTATGTCCCGAGGGGACCGATTTTCCGAAGATAGCAAATTTATCACTGTAAATCCAGGTAAGCGGCCCGGTCCTCATTCGAGGCTCCTTTCTGTTGTGAATAGTCTTGCTGTGGGGATAGGGGATGAAGATCCAGAAAGTGCTTAATATTCTTGGAATCATCTTGCCCCTGATAGAAAAGACAAATGGCAGTCGTGCAGAGGTGTGCGTGTATGACTGTTTTTTTCTAGTAAGAATAGCCTCTGCTCTCCTAGTCTCGCTGCAGGAAGTGTCACCTTGATATTTATTTCCTGGTAAAAGCCACTTGTTTCAGAATAACTCCAAAGACTTCAACCACACAAGAAAACAAATGAATAAGGGAGACATCCATCTTGAGCTGTTTATTCATTAATATTTCATTCCTTATCCATTTATTCAACACCTTTATTTATGGACTTCCTCTTTCATGCCCGCCAGTGGGCTGGGGCTGACCTGGAAATTAGTCCCTGCCACCTGGAACCCAGTATGGAGAAGGCAGAGAGGTGGCAGCCAGCTGGGCTGCATGTCTGGAGGTTAGCAAGCAGGCAGGTTAGCTGGCAAACAAGGAAATGAGCTAACGCAAGTTGGAGAGTGGGAGATGGTAAGAGAGGAAATGGACAGGGTGCCATCAAATAGAATGATGAATGAGGAGGGCAGACACCTATCGTGACTAGAAAGGTCATTCTAGAAAAGCAACATTACATCAAAACATAAAGAATGAAAGGCCCCTGCTTGGGGGAGTTGGTTTCAGCTCATGGTCCTGGCCCAAGAAATAGGACTCTGTCTCAGAGCCCCATTTGCTGTGCAAATTGCCTGGTTTATAGATGGCAAGCCGGGGCGAGGCTTGTCTGGGCTCCGTGGTGAGGATGTGCCCCCTCACCCTGATGGTTGGCGATTTCGTGGCTCTATCGTGTGCTCAAATTTCAACAAATCATCCTGATAGTTTCTGCGAGGGAGCTGTGAGCATGAGGGGTAGTTATCGTTGTGAGGGGTTTTCTTAATAAGAAATTCTTCCTTTTGCCAGACTACAAGATGTTTAGCAACAATTTTTTTTGCATCTAAGCTGTTGTGGAGTTATAAGAGTGCAAAAAAAAAGCAACTGGTAAATATTTATTTGCTTTTGCACTTGTAAACATTAAAATTCATCTAAAGCTGAGATCTCGTATGTTAAGATACAACTTAGAATAAATTTTCATGTTTTGAATTACGATCCTCCTTAAAGCTGGTATGGACTCCTTTTTTGAAGTGTGGGTTTCCTATGTCTGTTGCTCAGTGTGCCCTGGTTTTAGGGAAAGGTTGAATTTAGGTTTGCGTTGAATTGAGAGAAGGAAATATCTGGCTACTTGTGAAGTTCTTTGAAGCTATTCTTGCATGAACAGTGATATTTCCTCTAGGAACTGCTGTGAAAAGGTTGAGTTTCCTTCATTTGAAAATAGTTAAAAAATATTTTTGGAGTACCCACTGTGTACCAGGCACCAAAGTAGGCATTGGGAAGAAAACATAGACCAAAACAGATTTCTTTTCTCCTGGGATTTATATTCTAGTTGGAGAGCTTGAGAATATTCCAGTAGACAAATGCATAACTTCAAATAGTGTTAAGTGCTGGAGTCAGGACAGTGTAGCATCTAGTGGTCAAAGGATGGCATTTGAGTGGAGACCCACCTGGTGAAGACCAAACCACTCAGAGGTACATGGAAGAGCATTTTGGGCTGTGGAACAGAAGGATCAGAGACTCTAAAGTGCGGATTCATTTGGATCGTCCTGGGAGCCGTTGGAAGTCCAGGGCATCCAGACATAGAGTCAGGAGCAGGGAGGAGAGGTGGGTGTAGATACTCGAGGAGCTCAGACCAGCATGACACTCAGCAGCCATATCCAGGATTTGCTTCTAACTGCATCAGAAAACCAGAGGTGGGTTTCAGCAGGAGCATTATTACCCATCTGACTAGCTTTTTTGAAAGGTGACTGTAGCCTCTGTGTGGACATTATATAGGGGAGGCAGGAGAGGACCGAGGAAGCCCAGTTCACAGGTGGCAGTGATGGTGGCTTAGACCAGTGTCATCTTTTCAAAGACTTGTGGTGGACTTGGAATTGATTTTCAAGCTTCAGTTAGTTCATCTTTGGACCTAGGACTCTCAGCCTGCTTCTCTTCACTTTCTTTTTGCCTAACTTCCTGGGAAATAGGTGCAGAGCATGTAACTTAGGAGTATTTACATCCTGAGAGATTAGAAAGGAATAGGGACATGGGGCATGGAAACGAGTCATTGTGAATTAGAGTCACATTTCAGGGAACAGGGTCAACCCTGGAGATTCCCAACTCCAGGAATGGGGTGGGTCTCCAGCTTCAGCCTTTCAGCTTCATCTTTTAAGACAAGATGGTGAGTGTCTTCCATCTTGGCAATGTAGCTTTAGAGTGAGATCGCCCCAGGGGGCTCTGCCTCCAGTCCACTGGGGATCCTCAGGCTGATCTTGGCTCAGCGTCCTCATCTGTGAAGTGAGGATAGAGATCCCCTTAGTGCCAGAGGCTGTGTGGATGCATAGCACCCTCCTTGCTGTCAGTGATAAGGAAGGAGGAGCTGTCCACAGCCCACGGCCACATCATCGTTGGGAGGCTCCTAGCAGGAGTTTCTTTTGCATTCATCCAGGACATTAAGAAGTGTGCCGAGGCTGTGGCCACAGCGAGCTGGCCTTAAAAATGACCCCCGGGAACTCCAGCTTATACCTAACAATGGGAGACCAGCAGGTCCTTTATCTAAATGGGAAAGTGCAGACCTCCCCAGTGGCGCAGCGGTTGAGTGCCTGGTTGTGAAGCTGCCTGCAGCCTCTGCAGCACAGGTTCGATCCCCAACTGCTCCCCGGCCACCAGGCGAGGGTCCCACATGGCGCGCAGACCCCTCCTGCTGCCCGCTGCTCCCCTCAGCAATGTATTTCGTCAGTCTGCCTGTTGTTCCCCGCTCTGGCTCTGGTGAATTCTCTCACCCTCCTGTGCTTCTGACTGTACCCAGTGCTTGTATGTATAAATAAATAAATAAATCTTCTTAATAAATAAATAAATAAATGGGAAAGTGCACAGCTTCCCAAAGCAAAGTGTAATTTCACTTCAGAATGGCAGGCAATTCAAATTCAAGAGTGGTGGTAGTGATTGCTTAAGCCAGAGATTGATCGCCAACTTTCTGTGAAGGGCCAGATAGTAAATATTTTTTGGTTTTGTGGCCCAGAGACCTTTGGTGTTTAATAACACCTTTTAAAGTCCTATGGGCAGTAGAATTAGTATTAACTCACAAAGAGGGAAATTATAGAAGACAAACTCAGATACCTACAGTAATTTATCAGACAGAGTATCAGTAAGAGAAAAAGACAAGGTGTTAGACATTAGGGAGCTGTGAGGCCTGCAGCAATCTAGAGAATTCATGCCCTTTCTAAAGAAGGCCCCCTTATTTAATTCCAACTGCTGTTGCCAGTGAGACTCTTAGGGAGCCAGACATTGAAGTCTATCTGAAGAATCCCCCAAGTTTTAGCAAATTAAAAAAAAATCATTTCTTTTTTTATATGTGCTGAACTAAATACATTCCCTTGGCAGATAGGTAAGCATCCCTGTTGTGCTTGGCCTCTCATGTGGAGTAGATGCGATAGCTGCAAAAATGCCCTGGAAGTGACCAGAAGGCCGAGAGGCCTGAGTGCACTCGCTCCGTCTCTCACACCACATGCCTCCTGCTGACATTTGTTTAGTGTGATGCCCTCCGCTGTGCTGCATGGAACTCTGACGTGGTCCCACCCTCAGGACCCATAGCCTGAACAGGGTTGAGGAGGCACCCCCAGATCCTCTCACAGCAATATAATGTTCTCAGGCTGGTGTGTGGTGCAGTAGGTCCTGGCAAAAGCCGTCCAGCAGGGCATGAGCTACAAACTCATCATTTCGTGTTTCCAGTTTTGTTTCTTTAAATAAGGGAAACTCCTGTTTCAGACTAAGTCTTGCTCAGAACCCCAGTATAGAAACAGTTATTTACTGAAAGCTTGTTGTTTGCTTCCTGTGGTTCATCCCTAAGAGTCCCAATCAGGGATAAGCAAACTACTACCCCCTTCACTCCTGCCCCAGGCCATATACGACCCTTCGTCCAGCCTGCAAACTAAGAAGGGACAGAGCTGGTTAGAGACCTGGGCTGCTGTTCTGCGTTAGACTAGTGTAGAAGCTGCTCATCTCCAGCAACCCAGTGCATTGGGCAGCTCTGAGTCACCTCTTTGGAAACCTCAAGCTCTAAGGAACCCAGATTGAAAGCCCCTGATTACAGAAACAGTATCATCAGCTACCATTTGTTTTGCAGTGGTGCTGCATGTCACTTACCCTGCAGTGCCCCCTGAGAGCTTGGCTGTCAATGTCACCACCAGGTCTGTGAGGAGACCGAGGCTCTTAAGGTTAAGGAAGAGCCCAGGGCGGAACAGCACGTGGCAAGATGGAGCACCCACATGGGCCCTGAAGCCACCTGGCTTTGGGACTTGCTCCCCAAGTGAGCTACACAAGATAATTTCAGGTGAAATATTTATTATAAAGTGAATATTTGAATGCATACTTGTTAAAAAGACGCCAATTTACTATTTGGCAGAGGTTCTTAGCCTGGGATGACTTTTCCTCCACCCCTACAGGGACATTTAGCAATATCCAGAAACATATTTGGTTGTCCTAACCAGGAGGAGGGTGCAACTGGCATCTACTGGGTAGAGACCGAGGGTGCTGTTCAGCAGAGCATGGTCAGCCCCAAGCAAAGAATCACCCTCGTGTCAATAGTACTGAGGTCAAGAAATTTCTGTGGTAGTAATTAATATAAAGTTTCCTTTTCAAAGTTTACTTGAGTTCAGTTAAAATCGGTAATCAACTTGAAATGGATAAACAGCAGCACAACCTCAGAAGATAGGGTGGAAATCATGAACACCATGCCCAACTGAAGTGTCCAGGTGGGAGACCTGTAGTGTACTTCTTTTAAAATAAATCACAGCAGGCACTTTCAGAAGCAATTTTCAGTCAAGGTTGGGCAGGTTCCTTTTTCT